ATATGACAGTTTCCTGGCACAAGGACCCCCTTAACTACATCCAAACAAACACATAATAATTCTTTGACAAGATGCCCCTAGATGGACCCTAGATCTTTGGAAGCCCTAAGCCCAAATCCCTACAGATCCTTGGCCCATAAGGGGGGCTTGTTCTAAAGGTTTATTTCAAGGCGGGACTTTTGGGTGGTACAGCTACCTTAAAAACATATCCTAACCAATATGACTTAGGGTTTTGGACGGCCGCGCGGACAGGCTTTTGGAACACCTCCCTTATCCCCCTACATCTCCTTGAAAGGAACCCCTACTTTCAATGTAGACCCTAAAGCCTAAACCTAATAAGGCAGGTAGTCGGACCGTAAGGGCAAATCAACAGCAGTTCTTCATTATCGAAGCGGATGGCCCACTCCCAGCGACACGGCGAAGGGTTTAAGGTTTACTTAAACCCCACAAGCTTGTGGAGAAATTGGATTTCTGTAGGTTTTGGGCCGTTGTTTTGCCTACTTTCGGGGTTCGGGTAGAGCTTAGGTTTGAGGGTTAGGGCTAAGCCTGAGGGTTTAGTAAAAGGCGAAGCTGCCCTGTCGCTGCACAAACTGATGTAGGGGCCTAAACAGTTACCTTGGTTTAGGGTTTATGGCTTGGGGACCAATATTGCCATCACAAACAAGCCCCAACATGATATTTCTAGGTATTTAGGCCCTTATATTCTGAGAGAGGCCATGTGCTTTCAGGTACAGAAACAAGGTGGAGTATCATATGAGCTACAGTTACGTAAAATTTCCTACATATTCAATAAGGTATATATAGGGTATAGGGTATACTTCCTACATAGTTTAACAGTTTAATGGACATGGGTTTCTTCTTAAGAACTTTACTCAGGGTTCCATATACTAAACTACAAGAAGGACTCCTATGTCCATTCTTCAGGGTCCATAATTAAGGCTAATGCTGACAGTAGATCATATGGGGAAGTATAAGGACAAGGTTTATGGTTTTTTTCGGGATTAACCCAGACCCCTGATTAATAAACCCTCTCCCCTTAATGAGATTATGATAGGGATCCTAATATTTAGGCCCTTAGAAAGAAGAGGTTTATTAATCGTGGGTCTACATTAGGGTTTAGTGGTCTAGGGATGTCAGAGGGATGTATATAGATATAGCCCAATAATGGAGAATCCAATGAAAAAGAAAGTGGGAAGTGAAATGGAAGCTGGGTTTACATGGGTGCTATAACAGTAGTTTATTGGGTAGGAAAGTATCTATACAGGACCTCCATTGGGCCCAAAATGTAGAATGTATAGGTACCTGCGCCGTCTAGGTTTTTGTTAGGGTTTAGGGCTTAGAGAAGAGTCCATAAGTAATTCAGACCTCGGAGACACCTCCTTCATATCCGTACAATATACCCGGTGTGTCCATTTCCAGTGGGCGGCTTTACAAAAACGGCGCACAGGTTGAAGTGACTATGCTTGAGGAAGCCACATACCAACTCATTTCAGCTGGTTGCGTGATGTGGACCCACGATGAATAAGCCTGTTTTCAGACATGGATGAAAGCGAGAAAACACAAGAATAACCAAGAAAAACGACAAAAACGGACACTGGGAATGTTTCGCGATTTGCGCCTTTCCCAAAATGAAGGGCACCTGTTGGGGTCCCCATAATAAGGGTTATAGTATATTGGTTGTGGATTGGGCCCCCCCTATTCTGGGAAACTACAATTTGGGGTTTAGAGTTTAGGGTGTAGGGGAGATTTACCTTTGCACCACCTTTCTAATATGGATCCGAAAATACGATCTCTGGCGTAGCCCTGTCTCTCAACAATTTCCCAAGTAGCCACACGAAGCGGGCAAATCTTGATCATGGTCATGTCAGGATCCGAGTAATCAAGGTGGAAGCCTAAACATGTGAAATAAGGTTTGAGGCATATTCTACTAGAAGTCTGGATGATAAGACAATGTGATTGGCGACTTCTCCGTAAAAGACCCTCCCTAGCATGCATTTCGAGAACCAGGAACATAAATTTGGGTTTGCATGGCTGGGGTGGGTCCCCACCCATTTCTCACCAGGTCGAGGTATCTAAAACAATACTGGGGGGCCCAGTGGGATTACTATACTAGGTTCCCCAATACCCCCTTAATAATAAGGCTACCCTTTTTCTTCATATTCAGCTTTAATAAGGAGACCCCCAAATAAAAAGGGGAAAAGGGTACTACTGGGACAGGTACTTTGCATCCTTAGCAGCTACTACATGTGACTGTTTTCCAATTAGGCCTCCCTCTTCAACGGTTGCCATATTGAGGTCTGTAATATTTGGGGGCCTGTGGTGGGTTCCCCCATAAACATACACAGAAAGCACCATATGAGCCATTGTCTAAACTCCTAGTATCCCCCTTAATATCCCCTATAGTAGTCCCCTATATAATTCCCTATATAAACCCCCTTTAAGGAGTTTAGACTATGGCTCATATAGGTATCTGGACCCTTTGAGTCTGTCTCAGAAACCATTCTTTGAGTGTCGGGGATCCTGCAGGAAACGCGTGGATGTTGCAACGACGCGGCCCACACTGATCATAAAATAGGAACTTCCCAAAATTAGGGGTACCTTTTTGGGGTTCCCCATCATAAGGGTTGTAGTGTTTTGGGGTCTATATTGGGGTACCCCTATTTTTGGGACATTGCCACATATGTCGGAAACGTGATCTCCACTTGATGCCGCTCCTTGTTGCCCCTCTCATGGTTGTAGGCATGGGAAACAGTCTGACATCATGAAATCTGATTGGGATCGGCACAGCTTTTGTAATTTCACGATCTGAGGCGCTTAAGTTGAAATTAGATTTCTCAAAATGGCAGGACCTGACCCTAGGGCTATGCAAGGATTATGTGGGGTTTAGGGTTTTAGAGGGACTACGGGGATTCAGACTGGGGACAAATAAGGCTTATACTGAGAACTCTCAACCATTTCTAGGCTCACAGAATGAACTCGGGGGTGCACACAGCTGAAAGCGCGTGGCAGCGCGAACCCATGCTGCACTTTTGCTGATTTACAACAAGAATGTACTTAAGGCTTAAGGGACAGGAGGACTTCTCATGTTGTAAGTATGCTCACATGACCCCGAAGCAAGTACAGGTCAGGTCCAGACAGCTTTTTGCAGAATCTGCCCGGTTCCCACATAACAGCTCCTACATGAATTGAGCATCTTCAACAGAAACCCTTGCAAACTCAGTATTTTGGCCAAGCCTTTGCAGACCCTTCTGAAGGTGCACTTGATGTTGTTATGAGCACTTACTGAATATGAGGACCTTGTGCTTTATTTTGTTCAGGGTCTATAGCCCTAGTTGAACCCCAAGCCCTACAGCTATGCAGCCTAGCTAGAATTTACCATAAACTTGTTTCAAAAGGCATCAGGTGAATGCTCCTTCAGGGAATTCTCAGTCAAGGCAAAAAATGCCTCCCAGCAAACTGCAACCCGCAATTTAGAGACCCTAACACATGACACATCATTTTCTGAGAAATTCCGGAAGAAAATCATGAAACCTCGAGGCAAGAACATGAAATCTGGGCGGGCGCCGACATGCAGTGGATACTAAATGACCCTATTACCTTGTACCTTGGATATACTAAAGTCATGCAGGATGTTTAGGGTTTAGGGTTTTAGAAATTCTGCGTAGGGTAGGATCCACAACAGGCTGCAAACTCCCCTCCTCCTAACATTTACCCTCCCCTTCGCACTTCATAGTATTGAATATTGCCCGTATGCTTTGGTATATGCATAGGGGATGACGAATAGAAATTAATATCAACTATTGCCCATATGTGTCTATCATATGTTTGGGGGATATCCATGAGTTGTGTGGGGCTCAATTTCAGGGCCTTCTAAGTCGAGGAGATTCCAATCTACAGCAGCTCATTATGAACAGCCTAACCTAGGCCCTCGGAAAGTGTACACCAGCTACTCCAGAAGCCTAAGGCTATACTTGAGTACCACACCTTCTAGGTATACTTTGAAAGCACTGGGTTAAGTTTAGGGTATTAGGGTTTAGGGCTGATCGTAACTTGGGTCGTGCCAAGCCCAGATCCCATAATCTGCTCCTAAAGCCACGGGCCCACCAGCAGCAACAGCAAAGTCCAACATGCCCCGGGGAGCGTCGGCGCATAGCTCACGAGTAGCCCAGCATCCCCTGAAAAGCGGAACAGCATCTTGTTGTCGCGATCCATGTCCTTACAACTTCTGAAGGTTCAAGAGATCAGATTTGGGCTTCAGGGAGAAAAAACAAATGAGATCCCAGTAGCTGGGACCTGAACCCACTATATGGGATCCTACAAAGATTTTCTAGAGTATATATTGGGGTCTATTTTGGGAACCCCGAATGAGTGAAAGACACAGACAATTGCACCGTTCCATGATAAGATCTCCTAAAGCTTTGCTGGGCAACGGCCCCCCACAAGAATCGACCGTCGTTGCCTGAGCAGGTCTCATCTCCGCCACCTTCCAAGGGCTAAGACATCCGGTTGCCGAACCACATTAGATTCTTTCGGGCTTACTGTGGGTGTTTTACTCCAAGCCCTAAACCCTAAACCCCAAGACCTAAGCCCTAAAAGTAAGTACCAACATTACATGAAGTCTTTTGGTAGGAGCCTGTGCCATATTAATTCAAGGAACCTAGAGCCATGATGTGATCAATTCTTTAGGCTTCTACAATATGAGCCATAATCGTTCCCCTACACAAACCCCTTTATGGAGTTCAAGCCATGGCTCATCTAGGATTTCAGGTTTAGGGTTGGAGCCTTCGAGGTTGTTTTAGCTCAGGGGATTGGGGATGAGGCCTTGCCGTCTGAGCCTAGACCCTGAACCTTCGAACCAAAACCCTAAACTGTGTGAGCCATAGTCTAAACTCCTAGTATCCCCCCTCAATAACCCCTATAATACTCCCCTATATAATGCATTATAACCCCCCTTTGAAGAGTTCAGACAATAGCTCATGCGCTGCTGCGGCCCTAGCCGCAAAGAACTGACTTCCTGAGCAGCTTGAGCAGGGATCACAAAAAAGAGGTGAACAAGTAGGATAGGAGTCAGGTATTGAATAGGGCTTACCTTGGGTTTAGGTCTTAGGGTTTGGGGTTGAAGTTTTCTGTAAAGCCTTAAATCCGGAACTCTAAAAAAAGGCTAAATCCTATGCCCCAAACCCTGAACCTTATAATGCCTGAATCTGAAACCCTATATAATCCTATATACATTCTACATCCTGCGTATCTTAACAGTTAGCCTTAACCCTAATCCTGCACTCCAGAAACCCTAAACATACCCTAGACCTCTAAGCCCAAAACCTCTGCCAGGGCTAGGGTCCCTAAATCATAAACCCTAGCCCCCTAAACCCTACACCCCCACACCCTGAACCCTAAACCCCTAGACCCTAAAAACCTAAAACCCTAAACCCTAAAACCCTAAAACACTGAACCCCTACACCCTAAAACCCAAAACCCNNAAACCCTAAAAACCTAAACCCTATGATGTGCCCGGGCTCGGGTTCAAGCACTCGTCTGCTGTGGTGGCAATGGAGCTCGGGCTCGCAGTCGCTTTCGTGAGGGGCGACGTGATCGTTCCACACCTTCGGGTTTAGGGTTTAGGGGT